CGCCCCCCTCACTCCGCTCCGCGCCGCGGGGATTTATTTCTCGCTCAGGGTGACCTGTTTATCTCCCTCCCCCACTGCACAGCGAGGGCTGAGCAAATTCAGAAAAACAAAGCATCAATAGCAGCTCAGTGCGCGCCCTGGGTGGGAGTCGGCCCCGCCCCGGGAAGGAGGGGAGGCTGAGTCAGGCAACTGCGGAAACACCCAGGGGACAGGCAGCCGCTAGGATGGGCACCCGCTTCTATTTTGTTTAAAAATAATATGCTTCGCGTGATGGCTGAGTAATCCGGCTACTTGGGAGGCTGGGGTAGGAGGATTGAGTTCGAGGCCCCACCTGGGCGATTTCGTGAGACCTTCTGAAATTAAAAAAGAAAACTGGAGAAGGGGCTGAACGCGGAGACCCTGGGTTCAAACCGCCGCCCGGAAGAATTGTTCTAATGGTCGTGTTGACTGAAAAGATGTCGCTGGAGAGGAGACTCGGTTTCTGAGGCCCGCTGGCTGCAGTTTCGAGGCAGGGTCTTGCTAAGCAGCCCAGGCTGGCCTCTTGCTCGTGGCAGCGCTCCTGTCTCAGCCTCCTCAAAGCCGGGCGGCGGGTGTGCAGCTCTGCGAGGGCAGGGCTGGCCCTGGATCCTATCCAGGGCTTCTTCTCATTCGCAGATTCTCTGCAGTGAGGGCGGATCACCCCGCAAACACCCCGGGCTCTGTCTTCTAAAAACCCCGAGGACCTGTCCCAAGTCCGTGACCCCGGGCGACCCCTAGTTCCGCCGGGCGGAACCTCAGCGTCAGTGGGGATGAGGAGGAGCGGCCCGGTTGTCATAATATTTATGATCGGGGCCAGCTGTCCCGCGAGCTGCAGCCGCGATGACGCGCGCCACGCGTACACTCTGGGCCACAGCGCTGAATGCCGTCCAAGCAGGGCTCGACGGGAGAGTGGGGTGGGGGGAAGCTGGCCAAAGACGGCTCTGTGCCTCAGTTTCCCCATTCATCAAACAGGACTCTTCCGGGGGCGGTGCCACGGTGCCACCTAGGGCCTCATCCATGCCAGGCCAGGGGTCACCACTGAGCTGCACCCTCCCTCCAGGCCTTTTATTATTTTATATTTTTTATACCGGGGATCGAACTCCAGACCTTGTGCTTGTGAAGCAGGTGGTGGAACCACAGAGCTAAATCCCTGGCCGAGCCTTTTATTTTTCATTTTGCGCCATTGTGTTGCTACATAGCCCAGGCTGACCTTGAAATCGCCACCCTCCTGCCTCAGCCTCCCGAGGAGCTGGGACTGCAAGCACTGGGCACCACAGAGTCCCCAGCGAGGACACTAATACTGGAGAGCAGGGTGTCCTCAGGCCTGAATGGTTTATTGAGCCCCAGAGAAATGTCCAGTGGCCCCATATTACTAAGTCACAGGCACCAAAGGCCAGCCAAGTCGTGTGGGTCACAGAGACCCAGACACAGCTAGGATCGGATCAGCAAGAAAGCTCCCAATGCCGGGGAGAGCCCAGGGCAGCCCCAGCCATCAGACACAGAGCCCAGGGTGGGTGGGGACTGCGTGCATTTTTATCACCATCGCCGAGTGAGGCCAAGTAGGAGAGGCATGAAGATGGCACTGGGTCAGGGATGTGGCCAGTGGTGAGTGCTTGCCTAGCAGGGCCTGGGTGTCATCACCAGGGCTGCCACAGGAAAGAAGGGAGCGGATAGAGGCAGGCAGAGAGAGGGAGGGAGGGAGGGAGGGAGGCAGGCAAGGTGGAGCGCATCTGTGATCCCAGCACTCGGGGAGGCTGAGGCAGGAGGATCTCAAGTGTAAGCCCAGCCTGGGCAGCTTAGCAGTTTAGCGGGACCCTGTCTCAAAGAAATAAAAAATGGGCTGGGGATGGAGTTCAGTGTGAAGGCCCTGAGTTCAATCCCCCAAATCATCAAAAGAAAAAAAGGAAGAAGAAAAGAACCGGGTGAAGGCTGGCACTCCAGGGTGATGGCTGGAGGTGGCTGGGCCCGAAGTCCCCTCTCTGTGCCCCAAGAGCACATCCCGTGTGGCCCCGAGACCCGATGCTGGCAGCTCCCACAGAGGCAGGAAAGGAACCTGGACTGCCAGGAACCCTTTCCAGAAACCTGAGCCCAGGCCCAAGGGGGCTCAGCCTCGGCCCTCACATGCCCCGAGCTCCCCGTGCAGCTCCCCAAAGCCTTCTGGTGGCCCGGCCGGGCCCGGAGACAGGAGCTAAGTGCCCAGTGACACCACACTCCCCGCCTCCTCTTCCTCCTCCTCTGCTTCCTCCAGCGTCAGCTCAAACTGGAACCTGTCGGGGGCTCCCCGCTCGGAAGTGACAGTGTCCAGGGGGCTCCGGGGGACCCTGCTCTGGTACCACGCCCTGTTGTCCTCCAGCGTGTCTAGCAGTTCCTGTGCGTCAGGGTGGACCAGGTCAGCCCAGGTCTCCCACAGGGGGTGGGCAATGTAGTCGATGAAGCCCACCTGAAAAGTGGCACAGGGAGGGCAGACAGGTATGCAGTGAGTCACAGAGCCCCCTTGAACCACTCCATCTTCTGGGCCTTTGGCCATATTGTTCCCTCTCCTTTGAATTCCAAATCCCAACTCCTATTTAACCTGCAAAACCCTGTTCAAATAACTCTTGGTGGAAACGCAGGTGGAGCTCAGTGGCACAGTGTCCGCTTGGCATGTGTGAGGTCCCAGGTCATCCCCAGCACCAGAGAGTAAGGATTAAGCTGGGGCCTGCGGGGTGGCTCAGCGGCCCCTTTCCCTCCCCGCAGGCGGTCACTGCACACCTGGGACTTCTCCACGGAGGCCGTGTGCTTGTCGCACATGGGGCTGACGTCCAGGCCGGACTCCCGCTCCCAGTCACCCTGCCGGAAGAACTCTGCCATGATGCGATCGGTCCACTGGCGGTACAGGGGCAGCGGCTTGGTGGGGTTGCTGAGGTCCGCACAGTGGACCAGGTTCTGCAGAACCTGCGGAGACCAGGGCTTAGGGGCCTGGCGGGGCCCAGCTGCCCACCCAGAGTCACAGGTGGGGAAACTGAGGCAGCCCACCTGGATGCGGTCGGCGTAGGTGTCCAGCAGCAGGATGCCGAGGCTGGCCACCTTCTTGGTCTCCACCATGGTCTTGAGGTCGGCCAGCAGATTCATGTGCTTGGACATGTCAGTGGCCAGCACCTGCGGAGCCCAGGTCAGGCATGAAGACCCTGGCACGGCCTCAGGCCCTCAGCTGCAAAACGCGAGGGTGCAACAAGGCCCGGCGGCCCCTCTCTCGGGACGCCACGCTCAGTGACAAAACCGGGGCCTGAGGTGGCTCGTGGCTGAGGACGCAGCTGTGCAAAGGCCCTGAGGCTGGTAGAGGCGGCGGGCACACGGATGGTGACAACCCAGAGGCCTGCGTCAAACGGCCGCGCCGCCCCGCCCCGCCCCGCCTCACCATGTCAATCACCATCCTGCGCAGATTCTGCCACTGCTTGGCGCTGAGGTTCCGGAAGATGTCACAGTTCTCGGCCTGCAGCAGTTTGAACCCCACGGCCAGATGGTGGTTCTCCAGCACAGAGATGTCGTTGTACATCAGGGCCAGCTTGGAGTCTGTGGGAAGCCGGGGGCCTCACACCCACCCGTCCAACCCGCTCCACCCAAAGGCAGCTCTGCAGACTCCTTGGTGAACTCTTAGCGTACGGTGAAAGCCCTACCCTAAATGGCCATTCCTCCAAAAGGTCACCCAAGGTGCCTGGCCCTGATCTGACTGCAGAGGCGGGGGTGTCCTGTTCAGCTCTGTCCACCCAGCTGTGTGCGGACAAGGGAGGACCGGGCCCTGCCCCCCACTCACTGGTGTTGATGAGAAACTGGTTGGAGACCCCGGGGTGGTCCACGTCGTGGATGGCGCTGGCGAAGATGGCGGCCAGGACCTCCAGGTCTGTGAACAC